GGATCGCTGTGAGTTCAAGGCCAGCCTGGTCTACATTGTGAGTTCCAGGACAGCTGGGGCTACAGGGAGACCTTGTCTCAGAAAGACCAAAAAAAAAAATTAGAAAAAAAATAAAGTAACAATAATAAAAAAAAAATTCCTACAAAAAAAAAAATTGTGTGTGTGTGTGTGTGTGTGTGTGAGCACACACACACTTTGAGCCAGTCAATCTGATTCCTATAGTAAGAAGATCATTGTTCTCACAGTGGATGTGGGGCTTTCCTGTCCTGTGAAGTTTGCTACTTCCTAGAATCCGAGGTGACTTCAGGTTTAGGATAGTAATTTATTTTTTCTATGCCCTCAACTTAAGTTAAGAAGACAGACAGTGCCTGGCATGGTGGCACACGCCTTTAATCCCAGCACTCTGGAGGCAGAGAGGCAGGTGAGTTCAAGGCCAGCCTGGTCTATATAGTGAGTTCCAGGACAGCTGGAGGGCTACAGGGAGACCCTGTCTCAAAAAGACCCCCCCAAAAAAAAAAAAAAAAAAAAAAGAAAAGAAAAAAAAGAAGACAGATAAACACACAAAGTTGTTGACACAAAAGCATAACTCTCACCTCAAAGGGTATAAGAGGTAGTTTATTCTGGAGCCAAATATGAGAGACCATGGCCCGGGAACACAGATTCAGGTTACCCCAAATTCCACATTCCAGGGTGGTAACAGTTGCCTTACATTTTTACAGTAACAGAACAAAGAAAAGTCATAAATCAAGATACTTTTCAAGTACATTGGCAGATACATTCAGTAGGCAGGTCACAGCAAAGTGGGAGGATTCTTATTGTAGGTCTCAGATGTTAGCTGATGACATTCTTAGCTTTTGTATTGGTGAGACCTGGTGGTCTGCTGAGTTAATACATTCTAAAAGGTTTTTATCTGTTAGTCACAGGATGTTAGATCAGAAACAGAGGTGAGTAAGGAGTGGCTGTGTAGGGGGCTAAAGATGGCCCTAGATAAATGGTAATTAGACTCTGGACCTGCAACATTCCAAACTCTCCACAGTCTCTGGAGTGATAATCAGTTGGTCAGCCTTGCAGGAAGTTTAGTGCAAGGTGCAGGAGTTCTTTTGGGGAACTTTTCTTTCACAAAGTGAAGACAGATATTTGGGCCTAAATGAGATGTTTTTCAAAAACAGCTGTAAGAGATACTTCAGGAGACCTCTGCCAAGTCAGATTAACCCAAGGTTTCCACCCACAGCACTGATCACCTCAGACAACCCATCATGTTGCCCCTCTCCCTCTGTCTTCCCTCCAGTACAGGCTGATGGATGACTCTAACTTATACAGCATCTATATTGCTAAGTCAGCACAGGAAGAATTTTACTCCTGATTTTCTTCTTAGTAATTTTTCTATCTACTGGTTGCCCCAACTTGTTCCTCTATAATAAATATCCCTATTTCCCTGTTGTTTTGGGGCCTGGTTTAGTTGTTCTTGGAAGGAGCCTGACATGTGAAATGGGGAGAAAGAGGTTCCCTAGAGGGTTGTTAGTCTCGTTCATAAAATAATTTAAAAATGGACCGAAAATGGAAGCTTTTACAATTTTATTAGAACTTTAAAGAAAAATCCTCAGGGCAGGTGAGCTGGTAATGTTGACAGCTGTCTTGAGGAAGAGAATGGTGGGAAGAAGGAAAGAAAGCCATGAAGCCATGCAGGTTTAGAGCCTGCATGGAGGTCAGACACATGGCTGTCTGGTAGCCACATGGCTGGGAGAAGGAAGCTTTATAGAAAAAGTAAAGAAATACAAGATGCTAGAAGCAGCCCAAAGCCTTAAAGAAAGCATGTATAGAAAAGGGATATGAAGAAGAAAAGGAGAAATTATGCTTTTCTGAAGAATTCAGAATCAGACTCACATGTCTGTGGCTGGGTTGAGGAGTTCTGTGAAATACAGTGCTAGAAGGTGGGATTCCAGGCAGGAAAAACTTACCTCATTAACACACCAGGTATTCCGCCCATCTATTTAGCATAACTTAAGGTCAACCTGCCTTTCTAGGGATGGTTCTATCACCAGGTGATTGACCAGTGAGACTGGAAAGGAGGGTCCTCCAACAGATAGACTAGGGATTTTAGGCCTTTGTCAGTTAAACTTACCCAGCCTTTTGCTACACGAAGGAATACCAGGGCTGCAGCTCAGTCTTTTGAACCAACACTGCACTGGAGTGCAGCAGGGCACTGAACGAAAGCCTTGTTTTATAAGCTGCAAAAGATCTATAACTTTGTGTTGTTCAGAAAATTGGGAAGAAGAAATAGCTGTACCATGAGAAATCAACTTCATGATTTTAACTGGATCCAGGGCTCTTGAGTGTAATTTAATATTCAGTGCCTCATTAAGAGACTCAGGGACTCTTGAGACTTCAAACCACAAGTAATTATTTCACAGGAAGGCCCGCCAGCCGAGTTTGATGTTACCTTCTCAGAGAGAAGGAAGCAGACTCTTGGGTTACCCAGGTTAACCCTTTGTGGCAACTTGGTTCTGTTTGACGTATCATTCTGTGAACTCAAGTAGCTGATGTAGCTAATTTGATATGGTCTTCAGTCTTGGCATCTGTCCAGTTATACCCTTCTGTCTTTAAGACATTTTGTGTGGGGATGAAGATTTGGTTCTGTAAGCCTTACCTGTCTCCAATCTGGTGAGCTCCTGTGCAAATCCTTGTGCTTAGTTTTGCAGGGGTCTTGATTCTGATTTCCTGATTTTATTAGATCTGTGTGTGGGTACCAGACTTCTTATCTCTGCTAAAAGTACTTACCTAGAGATGCCTTTCCACGTCACTCATCCCTTCCCAATGAGTAACTGGAGGTTTGAGTAGAAGCCCAGGCCCTTGTAGCTAGACAGTATCCCCAACATGCTAATTAAAGAGATGAGTAAGGGTGAAAGGCAGGGGTTTATTCAGTGTGGCCACATGGGTAAGAGGACCTAATCAAGGTGTTTGGTGACCTCAAGCCCATTTTCTGTGTGCAGACATGAGCTTTAGCTTTAGGAAGAACTGGGGCAAAGGGTAAGAAGTACATGTAATTAGACAGTCTTGGTATTTGTGTGGCAAACTTTATCATTGTTTCAACTCTGGTCTTACAAGCTGGTTCCAAAGTCCTTAATACTTGAAGGATTCAATGAAGTTTGGACTTTTCCAGGATGTAGCTCTGCCCCTCCAGGTGGACACACCCTCATTTGGAGGTAGGATTGCCCTGCAAGCTTCTGCTGTTCCTGGAATCCAAGACAAGAGCAGGTTTGGCATTATGACTTCTCTCTGTTCTTTCAGGTAAGGTAAAGAAGACCATCAGACTCAACACATAGGCAGAGATGTCAGGCTTTCATCTTGCTTTTAGTTGCCTTTTGGACCCAAATGAGAGCCAGTGCTATTTACAAAAACAGCTTCTAAGTGCCTTTTCAACAGTTGTTTTCTGTGTCACTTTTTAGTCTCTGCCATAACAAACTCTGCATATGTGTTTGTTTCTTTTCCTTTCTTAGAATCCAGTTCCACAGGGCAATCTTATGTTCCTCAAAATGCTCACAATGTCTAAAACAAGGTGTTAGGAAATACCAATAAAAAAGGATGAACAAATGGTTCAATTCATTTATAAATGTACGTGCCTACTCCTAGAATGGATTTGATGTTTGCTGCCAACTAACATATTTTTTAGATTAACCTTTTTTTAAAATTATTTTATTTTATATTTTATTTTATTTGTAGTTATGCCTTTTAAGAGAGGACCTACCGTAAAACTGTTATTATGATGAAATAAATAATCTGCTTTAATGTGGCAATTTCCTTGATAGACATTCACTAACTTGCCGCTTTGGACAGGAAGGGACTGCTCCTTCCTGTTTGTGAATGCCAGTCTTGTGAGACACATGGTGGTTTTGTTAGGTAGGTAGATAGTACTTTTCTCTCTTGAATCCATTTTTCACTGAGGCATGACAGAATGACAGGGCAAACTATGGGAACATGGGAAGGGAAAGGAGTTCCTCACTTTGGCGTTTGGTTGAAATTTCTGACAAGCTGAGAATCAAGAATTATTAACAACATTTGCTGTTATGGTTGCTGGTGTAGAGACAATATTCCTTTTTATAGAGATGGGTTTTTTTGTTGTTGTTGTTTTTTGTTTTTTGTTTTTTAAATTCAGACAGGGTTTGACTATGTAGCCCTGGCTGGTCTGGAATCCATGTGTTGACCAAGCTATGCCCAGCACCATATCCATATCCATATCCATATATATATATGGAGAGAGAGCAAGAGAGCGAGAGAGAGCGAGAGAGAGAGAGAGAGAGAGAGAGAGAGAGAGATTCCCTGTAGCCCCCAACTGGCTTGGACCTCCCTATGTAGATTAGGCTGATCTCAATCTCACAGAGATCTGCCTGCCTCTGTCTCTGAGTGTTGGAATTAAAGCATATGCCAATGAACCAAAAATAGAGATATTTTTAAATAAGAATGTTAAAATGCCAATGAGCCATGCTTAAGACCCAAGCATCTATGACTCTGGCTTTAATGGCTTTACTTCTTTTCCAGGTATTTTCACTCTCTGTTTTTTGTAATTTTTTATTGTATTTTTGTGTCATACAAAACATCTTACTCTTAAGCATCTTTATGCCCCCTTCCGCACTGGCACCCTCCTGTAGCCCTCTACCCTACTGGAATTCATACATTCTGTCATTTGTGTTAAGGCGTATTATGTCAAGTTAGTGTCCCCAGAAGTGGCACATCTACAATACAACCTCTATACCTAAACCTCATGGAACATGGAATGAAGGGTAAAGAGGATACTAATGCATCTCTTAGTTCTCATTAATGAAGCTCCCTCATGCAACAAAGGGTCAAGAACACAACAGGTCAAACCCTGATGAGTAAGAGTCTGCAGAACATGGGTCCTTGGACTCTTATATTAAACTCCACACACCCAGGGTTCAGGGACTATTTTGGAAGAGGGGGTGGAATGATTGTAAGAGCCAGGGAGAAAGTATATGAGCATATGGAAATAGAATCCTACAAGTCCCTGGGACCTTGCTCATATGAACCTACAGCAATGGTGTCAGCATGTACAAGACCCTTGCAAATTCAAGCAGATAAAACTCCAGCACTGAACTGCGAAAATGGGCAACAAGCCCCAATCTTGGTCAAAGAATTATTGGCAGCTAATTACTGCTGGGTGAGGAAGAGTTGATTTTCTTAAAGGGAGGGACTCTGGATAGGCTGCCTAGACCCCGCTGGAGAATTTCACTTTTAACGTTGTTTATTCCGAAAACATCTTACCTCCTCTACAGCCCTTGTGACCTAGAGCCTTACCTTGTCTTCTGTTGTTACTGGAATTTTGGGTGTCCCATCTTGTTCACCAAATGATACCCATGAAAACAGGGTCCTCTCTTGGGGTTTTCAGTGTCATTAATGAAATAATTGAAGAATGGACTCACATAGAAGCTTTAGGACAATTTTGTTAGAGTTTGAAAGAAAAACTTGAAGGGCAGGCAAGCTGTAAAGAGGAGCTTTAAGGAGGTCAGCGGAAGAGAGAAAGAGAAGAAACCCATGCCTTAAGCCATCGTGGAGGTCAGACACATGGCTTTCTACAAGCCACATGGCAGGGAGCATAAAGGAAGAGTGAAAAGGCCCAAATTATTGGGACCGCCCAAAGTGTCAGGAAAAGCAGGCTTAGAAAAGAGACAGAGGAAGAAAAGGAGAGGTTATTCTTTTCTGAAGAATTTAGAAAAATCTGTTTTCTTCAGAAAAGCATAGACTCAGGGAGGTAGGTACCTGTCTCATGTGGGTACATAAGGACCTGCCCCAGATTCCAGGCAGGAAAAGTTCACCATCTCATTAATGCACTAGTTATTCTGGCTATTTCTTAGGTGAACCTGCCTTGGTAGCGGTGGTCTAGGGGTGGTAATCTACCTGGTGAAACTGGAATGTTAGGTTTCCACCCACACTGGAGATTTTTTTTTTTTTGACCTTGAAAGTTGTTTAATTAAACAGGAAATCCATTACACCTTTCCTTGCACTGATGTACATTCTTTTGTCACGTGATTAAGGGAGACAAGCTAGATTCACATTTATATTAAACATGATATTTAAACTATCCTTTATCCCAAAGAACAATGAAAATACATTCTGTCATTTGTGTTAAGGCGTATTATGTCAAGTTAGTGTCCCCAGAAGTGGCACATCTACAATACAACCTCTATACCTAAACCTCATGGAACATGGAATGAAGGGTAAAGAGGATACTAATGCATCTCTTAGTTCTCATTAATGAAGCTCCCTCATGCAACAAAGGGTCAAGAACACAACAGGTCAAACCCTGATGAGTAAGAGTCTGCAGAACATGGGTCCTTGGACTCTTATATTAAACTCCACACACCCAGGGTTCAGGGACTATTTTGGAAGAGGGGGTGGAATGATTGTAAGAGCCAGGGAGAAAGTATATGAGCATATGGAAATAGAATCCTACAAGTCCCTGGGACCTTGCTCATATGAACCTACAGCAATGGTGTCAGCATGTACAAGACCCTTGCAAATTCAAGCAGATAAAACTCCAGCACTGAACTGCGAAAATGGGCAACAAGCCCCAATCTTGGTCAAAGAATTATTGGCAGCTAATTACTGCTGGGTGAGGAAGAGTTGATTTTCTTAAAGGGAGGGACTCTGGATAGGCTGCCTAGACCCCGCTGGAGAATTTCACTTTTAACGTTGTTTATTCCGAAAACATCTTACCTCCTCTACAGCCCTTGTGACCTAGAGCCTTACCTTGTCTTCTGTTGTTACTGGAATTTTGGGTGTCCCATCTTGTTCACCAAATGATACCCATGAAAACAGGGTCCTCTCTTGGGGTTTTCAGTGTCATTAATGAAATAATTGAAGAATGGACTCACATAGAAGCTTTAGGACAATTTTGTTAGAGTTTGAAAGAAAAACTTGAAGGGCAGGCAAGCTGTAAAGAGGAGCTTTAAGGAGGTCAGCGGAAGAGAGAAAGAGAAGAAACCCATGCCTTAAGCCATCGTGGAGGTCAGACACATGGCTGTCTACAAGCCACATGGCAGGGAGCATAAAGGAAGAGTGAAAAGGCCCAAATTATTGGGACCGCCCAAAGTGTCAGGAAAAGCAAGCTTAGAAAAGAGACAGAGGAAGAAAAGGAGAGGTTATTCTTTTCTGAAGAATTTAGAAAAATCTGTTTTCTTCAGAAAAGCATAGACTCAGGGAGGTAGGTACCTGTCTCATGTGGGTACATAAGGACCTGCCCCAGATTCCAGGCAGGAAAAGTTCACCATCTCATTAATGCACTAGTTATTCTGGCTATTTCTTAGGTGAACCTGCCTTGGTAGCGGTGGTCTAGGGGTGGTAATCTACCTGGTGAAACTGGAATGTTAGGTTTCCACCCACACTGGAGACTTTTTTTTTTTTTTGACCTTGAAAGTTGTTTAATTAAACAGGAAATCCATTACACCTTTCCTTGCACTGATGTACATTCTTTTGTCACGTGATTAAGGGAGACAAGCTAGATTCACATTTATATTAAACATGATATTTAAACTATCCTTTATCCCAAAGAACAATGAAAACATGACTTAAACCAAATATTCACTTAGAATTTTTTTCATTTACTTTTTTTTAAATCATTATACTTTTTAATATTTTTAATAACTACATGATTAGAAGCTTTTCACTACAGCTTTAACATATTACACACTCAGTAACACTCTAGAGTAACAGAACATCTCTTTCACAAGTGGGTGCAAGTTTCTAGGTTCACAGTTGAATTAATACAGATATACAATATTGAACTCAGTTTAAGCCCTGTAAGACATAAAATTGGATGAGTTTTTAACCTTTAAAAAAGATCTCCATTTCATTTTAGAATATATTCAGAGGCTTTTGGCCAATATCAGAAAAACAGAAGGAAGAGAAAAAGTTACCTTCTTTTAAATTAGAACTCAGAAAAGTGGGCAGGCTTCGCAGAGCTACCTTGGGGAAAGTTCTGTGAAGAGCTGCCCTTGAAACTGGGGGAAAGAGGGTTCCCTAGAAGGTTCGTAGTCTCATTCATAAAAGAATTTAAGAACGGACCCAAATGGAAGCTTTTACAATTTTATGAGAATCTTAAAGAAAAATCCTCAGGACAGGTGAGCTGGTAATCTTGGCAGCTGCCTTGAGGAGGTGAGTAGTGGGAAGAAGGAAAGAAAGCCATGAAGCCATGGAGGTTTAGAGCCTGTGTGGGAGGTCAGACACCTGGCTAACTTGCAGTCACATGGCTGGGAGAAGGAAGCTTTAAAGAAAAAGTAAAGAAATACAAGATGCTAGGGGCAGCCCAAAGCCTTAAAGAAAACAAAAGCATGAAGAAGAAAAGGAGAAATTACGCTTTCCTGAAAGTCAGACAGACTTACAGAGACCTACATGACTGGCTTGTCCAGAAGTTCTGTGGAGTTCTTCACTGTAAGACAGGATTCCAGGCAGGAAAAATTCGGTACCTCATTAACACACCAGGTATTCTGCCCATCTATTTAGCATAACTTAAGCTGAACCTGCCTTTCTAGGGGTGGTTCTATCATCAGGTGATTGACCAGTGAGACTGGAAAGGTGAGTCCTCCAACAGATAGACTAGGAATTTTATAGTCTTGACCAGTCAAATTTATGGGGCTTTTTGCTACTCTAAGACCCTGATGGAGGGGGAAGGACATGTATATTGTCTCATGAAGGGGATCGTTTTTCCTCCCATCTCGGGGGCATGTCTTCAGGTGAACCAGATTTCTTGTGGGGTGGACTCCTGGCCAAGTGATTGACAGGCCCAGCTGGGGTAATGCTTGCAGGAGGAGACCATAGTATGTAATGTTTTAACCATTGGAACATATTACAATGTTAAGCCTCCATCCAGCTCTAGAGGTATAATTTAAATTCTATTCTTTTGACCTGGAGGAAATAACTTTCTGTTAATGGGCCTCAATAAACCCCTGAAACTTCTTCCTTTTTGCATGATAATTTAAATCTCCAGGGGTCCAATTATGATGCTTCCTGTTTTGGGGCTACCCATGAAGAGGGAGGTAGGGTCTAAAGCTGATCATGAAGGAGAGGTCTGTCATCAATGGCCTCTAGAGCCATTAATTCTAGTTTAGCTACCTATCTACAGGAGAGGACCCTTGGGAGGTAGGTGGGACATAGGACCATCCCACCATGGTGTTTGTTGGGTTGTGGTGTCTACCTTTGTCCTTTGCTGAGATCAGAGTCCATCTTTTAGGCTTGATGAAGCAGAGTTGAATTTTACTTTAGGGGAAATCTTTAGGCAGAAAAAGCTAGAGAAATGCCCTTTCTGCATCTGTAGGTGCTGCCCAAGCAGCTCCATGTGGCCGCTGCACATGCTTGTATCCTGTCAAGAAAAATGGGCACTGGGTCTGGAGAAATGGCTTAACAAGTTAAGAGAACTGGCTGCTCTTGTGCAGGACCCAAGTTTAGTTTCCAGCATGCAGGCAGCAGCTAACAACCACCTATTACACCAGTCCCAGGGAATCTGATGTCATCTCCTTGCCTAAGAAGGCATTACACATGTGGGGTGCGTTGACATACATGCAGACAAAACAGTCATACACATACATAAAGTAAAAATAGATAATTTTTTTAAAGAAGGAAAGAGAACAGGGCTTGGGGAGGTAGACTACAACAAGTAAGAAAGAGCAGGTGAGTATTCGGTAACTTTTTTTTAGTTTTCTTGGTTGATAAGAAACCTCTTCCTACAGTGAAATCATACTGCTTATCTTTCCAAATGAATTAGCAAATCTATAGATGTGAAAATGAAAACTGATTTCTTCCCCTTGGATTAGGTGAGATCAAACTTCTGTAGACCTGGCTGGCAGTGGAAACAAATTTCTGTTTATGATCTGCTTGAGGTGTTCAGACCCCCAACTGCCCAGTGCTGGGGCTTTGGGGAGGAAGAGGAGAGCAAGGAACATCTACTTCAAAAAACCTGTTTCAGGTTTTTAATAGTCAAAGTAAATTGAAAACATGTCAACCATTAAATCAATGAAGCGTAATAAAGTCATTCTGAGGTTTCAGCAGTAAAACCAACTTGAATTCATCAGCTAAGGAATTTACAGTTCTTTAATATGACTCCTTGTAGAGCCCCCACCTCCCTGAGTTTATGAAGCACACACTCGGCTGTGTTTCAGGGTGTTCTGGTGTCCCTGTGGGGTGAGAAGCCTCCTCAATTCGACAGAGACAGAGAAGGGTGCAACACTGTGCAGAAATCCTCCTCCTGCAGCTTTGGTTTCTTACAGCAACTTGGAGCAGCACGCAGTTAAGGGTCTTCTTCCTTCCTGGTTCCAAGCATAGATGGAGACTGTCTGAAGTATCTTGATATGACAGTCTTTTCTTAGATGCATTTGGAAAATGAGTGTGGATTTTGTGGTGAAATATCCGAAGTGCATAATGAATTCTGTTTATTTCTAACCACTTATAGAGGGATATTTATTCTAATAAAATATTCTCTCTTACATGGAAAAGTTTCCATACACCCAAAAGGGCCTGGTCAGTCACTTGGATTTGGATCTGTGCATGTTTTGGAGCTGGGCCTTTATTTGTCCTAAAGTATGTGGCATTCTTTCCTTGTCATTTTTACACATCATGGTGGTCTTACTTTGTCATATAATCTTGGCCTTATCCTACAGCAGGCCTGAATCTCATGTGTAACTGCCTGATATTGTGGGGCAGAAGGGAGCTAGGCCAGTTACAGGGTGCTCCTGTTACCAGAAAAGGACACAATAAAGACAAGACAAGTTCATTAATAAAAGTTACAGGTGATATTGGAGGACTGGGAGTAAAACTTTACCAAGTTACAAGGAACCTATTTGATTTTATGTTACAAATCAAGGGAGCAGGTCCAGGGATGTAGAAATGTGATTGGA